AAATCCTGCACATACTTACTACAGAGTAGACTCAGCAGAACATTTAATTCCATCTAAACATATGTAACATGTAAAACACTGAACACTGTGATCCACAAAGTGGCAACAAAGACAAGCACTCCCTCCATTGTGCTTTCTGAACACACCATTAAAACACTGTTCTTGTGCTTAGGTTTTTTTCCCCCTAGGAAACCATAGTAAAGGAGCTTTCAATGATCACGACAAAACACTCCACTAGATGGCTCACAGATTCATAAACAGAAACTATTCAGATCTTATACAAATTCCAAAACTCCCAAGCTAGCTAAACTATTAAGAATTAAAAGGATTGTTTACATAGGAAGTTTGATAGATAACAAATAGCAGGCACGATACAAACATGAACTCAAATATCCATTTGCGCTAATATTTATTTCCTTTATCAATTGCAAATAGTGGATGAAATATACACAGTTACAAAGGGCAGGTTTATTGCTGATCAGTGTCAGGCTCTAAAGTACACTTGTCCACTCTGACAGCTACCGGGAAGGGATGTCCCTCCCCTTCATGCTCCAGGAGGACACTGTAATTAGGTAGTCATCATACTCTGAAGGCACATTGTTTTGGGAGAGAAAATGAAGAGTGGCCTCTTGTGGGGTAGGGTGGGGACAAAACAAACCCTGTCTCTACTGTTACCATTGTGAGCAATATTATCATTGTTCCAGTTCATATACATTTGAGTATCTAAAATGTAAAAGATTTTTTAGGTGAAGTCACATTTTCTACTAAGGTGTAGGTCTCATTGGTTTATAAATGAGTATAGGAATACAACATTAACGCAGAATATCATTTAAAACAGGCATGTACATACTTGTTTCAGTTCATATACTATTGAGCAGCTAGATGGTAAAAGGACAAAGTATGCCATATGGGCTACATGCAGGACAAATTTCACCCCCCCCCCCAAATATTGCTCCCCATGGATCGATCACACCCACTGGGGGGTGCAGAGAGTCTTTCCATCAAATCAAGTGGAGCTCTTTAAAACCCAGTGGGGTTTTTTTTTGTTTTTTTTTTTTTGGCGGTCTTTCCATCAAATTGAGTGGAGCTCTTTAAAACCCAGTGGTTTTTTTTTTTTGTTTTGTTTTGTTTTTTGGTGAACCAGAATCAATCTCCAGTTTTGAAAAAAGCATTCCTCCAGCCTCAAACAGGTGGGGTGGAATGGTGAAAACTGACCCATCACAGTATCTTGATGGTGCAATTGATCAGATGGCAGCCAGAACTTAAGGAGCAAATCAGAGGGGCATGGGACAAATGAGGTTCTCACAGGCCCTGGGAAAGAGGTTAACCATCAGACCACTCCCTGACTGAGGAATAGAAACCTGTATGTTACAACTTATCATCAACCCTCAGAATGGTCTTTGTTCTCCTGTGAGCTTGCCTTCCTTTTGACCAGCTTCAGCTCATCTCAAGAGAACAAGACAGTCAGTCAGTATGACTCTAACCAGCATGGAGGTGCAATGATGACCAAAGCTGTATTTGACTTGCCCACCTGCCACATAACCCTCAGTACTTTAAGGGCTCTGTTTGAAATGGATGGTTATTGGCTGCTTCATATGTTTATAACGCTCTATGAAATTCACTTGGAGTGATCCTGGTCAATGAAAGTGGTAGCTGTTCCAGCCCTGTTTCTACTGAAAGCAATCAGAGTACTTGTTTTGCATGTAAAAGGTCTCAAGTTCAGCCCCTGGAATTTCCAGCCAAGTATTCCTGAAACTCTAGGCAGCCTCTGTCAGTCAACACAGACAATGATGGTAACACATAGTCATGGTTTGCACTTGGCCTCCCAAGGTCATCCACAAGACCTGCCAAAAGTTGAGAACAAATCATGCTACCCAAAGTGATTGCCAGATTGCTACAACCCCCTCATCTAAAAAAACAACAAAAAACCACCCATTAAAATAAATACTGCTGGTGTTGAAAATGTTTTTATAGCTCACTGCCAAAAATTTAAGGGCAAGCCAGAAAAACACATTTAGAACAAATATTTCCTGTATTGATGTTTGTTGTGGGTTTTTTGGGCTGTTCAGTCATGTTCTAGATTTCCTGTATTCACTTTTTTTCCTGGTTGCCACTCAAATTTTACATTGTAATTTGCAACCAAACTTTGCTGGGATGGGACTCTGCCATGACTTCTGGTGAAGTAGTAGGCATCTTTCAGTCTCGAGAGACTATGGTAAAGTGCTCTGAATAGAAGTCTTGGAACAACATATAGTGTGGCTGAGAAGGCCAATTCTAGAATGCAAATCCCTTTACAACGAAAACAAATACATAGTCAGCATGCTCTATTGGTGCAGAATATCATGAATCAATAATAATCAGTAGTATATAATCATCAATACAGATGGCGTATACAACCGAGAAATCAGAAGAAAACTGAGACTTGGAAGAAATCTGTGAGGAACCTGGAAAAGATCCTTAAATGTAAAGATATGCTGGTACACACCAGGATCAGGATCACCTATGGTATTCCTGATATACAGTATATGGATTATATATGGATGTGAAGGCTGGGCAGTGATGAAAGGTAACAGGAAAAAAATATATTACATGTAATTTGCATTATGGTATTGGAAGAGAGGACATCTAAGAGTATACTAAATCAGACCAAGTCTGATCCGTAGAGACAAACATGACTATACAGTATTGAGGCTATTATAATATGGGCATATCATGAGAAAGCAAGACTAACAGAAAAAAGCAATAATACTGAAAAAATCTGAAGGCATCAGGAAGAGAGGAGGACTGAATCTGAGATAAGTTAACTCCAGAAGGAAGCCATGAGCAGGTCATTAACAAGAGGACATCATCATCATCATCATCATCATCATCATCATCATCATCATCATCATCATCATCATCATCATCATCATATGCCATCAAGTCATTTCTTATTTTTGGTGATCCTTTTCATAGTTTTCCAGCTAGAAAATGGTTTACCAGAGATAATTAATTTTTCAGAAGTGGTTTACCAGAGATCATTAATTCTTCAGATCAGCATATGTTGGGAGTGACTTGACATCATGAAACAAAATATAACATCATCATGGTATGTCATTCCAAAATACTGTAAAAGTAGACTGCCTCTGAAGAAAAAAAAGTGAACAAAAGGATTCTTGAATGAAAAGACTGTCAATAATCTGTCCTTCTTAAGCCTGTATATAGTGTTACATCAAATGTAACAGCAGTGTCCCAGATTCTATAAACCATTCCAGACAAAGAAGATGAAATGGATTTCTTTCTAGTAATAACAATAACTACCTCTGCTACCATTAATAAACTCAAAGCTACTTCTAAGCCATCATCGACAACAAAGAAAAATTTAAAAATAAAAAAAGAAGCATATGCAAGAACTGCATAGCCAGTAATTTGATTTCTGTCTGTCAACTACATTGCCAAACTTGCTGTATTTTCAAAGAATATTTGTGTAAGTTATTTTTCCACAACACTGCAATGATCATGTTTCATGTTGTATTGATTCCTGTTTATATAGGAAGGCTATGCAATTTTTTAAAAAGTATTTTTCTCATATAGATTTTTAGGTGCAGTCGCATTGTCTAGTAAGGTGTAAGTCTCCTTGGCTTATAATGGTTATATGAATACAACATTTATTTATTTATTTATTTTGTTTATTTATATATTAGATTTCTATCCCGCCCTTTTAGACAAACTCTACTCCAGGCGGGTTCCATTAAACATTGTAAATTAAAACAGTTAAATGCAGAATATCATTTAAAACAACCATATGCCTACTTTTTCCAGTTCATATATGTATAATTCTTCTGTATGTTCACAAACAAAACAAGACACCTTTTAAATTGTTTTTGGAACAGTCAAAAGTACTTTCCATCTTTTGGCTGATTTTTAGTGAAGTTTGAAATGCGATAAGAACATCAAAGGATCATTCATTCCTGTGAAGTATTCTTCTGAATATCCCTTTTTATTCTTCCTGATTACTTGAGGTATATGTCAGTTCAGGGCTTAACCAGGTTTTCCCAGGTCACAAGCTCAGCATGAAGCAAAATTCCAAGCTGACAGATTCAGGCATGCCATATACTTACTCTCTTGTATCCTGTGTAGGGCAAGGACTTGCATGTTCAGCTTTTGTGTGTTATCAAATCTGGCAAGAAAGGCAAGTCTACCTACATCCATGAGCTTCTACCTGCTCCTTGACCACTGCTAAAGAAATCCAACCTTGAGGCGTCTTTGGTTAAGTGTCCTTAACCAAGTGTTAAGGACACTTAACACCTACAGACTGGTAGCCTACCTTTCTTGTGCAGATGATCAAGAGAGCGATGACCACTCAACTTCAGTTATATTTCGATTAATTGTTTTGTGGGTTATGGAGCAGCACCTGCCTTGGTCATGCTATCAGAGGACATTTCATAGGAAAAAGACAGGAGTATGAATATAGTATACTGATTCTATTAAACCCCTCTGAAGCTTTTGTTGCCATCAACCATGTTATCCTTTGGCATAGGTATTCTGAGTTGGATATGGAAAGCACTGATTGGCAGTCATTCCATTCTTGCACAAAACTTAGGCTTCAGATTTGGGAATTATTATTTTGCTTCATAGAAGCTGGGGGTATTTATCAGTTTCTGAACACAAAGTGGTGCTTGTATCAGATCATGGCTCCCCGAAATGCTAAATACTGTTGGGTTTTTTAAAATTAGAAACGTTGAAAGGTATAATAATAATAATTTTTAAAATAGCTTAGTGCCAGTGAAAATAGAACATAATATTTTTTAAAAAACAAGAAGCTGAAAGCCCAGTCATGGAGCCCCTGGGAGGACTCCGATCAACCAGATAAGTTAATTATTCCATGATGAGCCACCATTTTGTGTCTTGGCAGAGCAAAGAAAGGGTATTAATATGTTAGAGACTATTTGAATTACTTTCATTTTCAGTAGGGTGGGTATGCACTAGAGAATGTTTTCTGCTTTTCGTTCAGGCAGCTGCAGATGTCATTTTGCATTACATTTTAGAAGCCAATAGACTGAATGCTACATGTGTGGCTGTGCAATGGATGTGTGGATGTCTCTTATGCAGATTTGAATGGGGCAGGTCAACCAACATTAGGAATAGGACGTAAGCTATGTTACAGTAAGTTTAATTTCACATGATATTTTTTAAATTTCATTGTTACTTGTGCACATTTTCATATTTTTAAATCTTTTGAGTTGTGACTCTAGGGGGCACTCAACAGACCAGGACTGGAATCCAGCACAGGGGGAGTAATTTCCTCTCCCCACTGCAGCATACTCAACATCCCGAAAACCTTTTCTAGAGGGCTGGAAACCCCTCCTGGACAAATTTTCAGCATTGGAGAGAGTAGCAAGGAAGAGGAACTAAGAGTCCCAATACTACCATGACTGTCACATTGGATTTATGCCACAGTTCTTACCCATAAAACTTTTTCAAGCTCTGATAATAAAGTAACTGTGTTTTCCAGAGCCTCCCATACACTCTCTTTCCATTTTTGTAGATCTATGGACCTGGCTGCCATAGTAATTCACACAAATATCCTAGGTACTCTGTTAAAATATCCTTCATGTGGGGGTGTTGGATCTATTTGTAGATATTGCTTAATCAACGAGTAATAAATACCAGCCACTGTCAAGCTTCTGCTTCAGCTAATAAAGATTTGCTCTTCTTTACCTGGACAGCCTAATTAATTATAAAAAATACTAGAGAACAAATAGATCTGATTTATCTCAATATCTTTCTTTTTTCCCACTGAAAAACCAGTGAGGGAAAGCCTGGAGTTTTACTTCTCATTACATTATTCTTTAATTGAAACTGACTGTTGAGCTGCTGTTTACAACTACAGCTCTGCTATTATTAAATCTGGAGAGAGCCCTAACATCCAGCACAGCTCTTATATCTAGTGCTATAAGCTTGAAAGTTATTGGAATCAATAGCTGGGGCAATGATGCTCTTAATATCCATGTGCCTTCTGGGCAACAAAGGCATTGATTGGTGATATCTGTTGACTTTTCTCAGCTGATAAAAAATGGTGGTGTCAATGCCATGCTCCTACTTCTCCTGGTTTTGTGCAACCCTAAAAAAGGATGGTGCACTTACTTTACAGTACAATGCAATGTATTGTCTCTATATCTAACCTGTGTTGTTCTCTTGTATATTCAATCATAAGTCTGTCCTAGCCATTCTGTGATATTTTTTAAAAAAGCAAGTCCATGAATTTGTGAACTATGTTTTTGTATATATTACTTACACACACACACACACACACACACACACACACACACACACACACACACACACACACACACACACACACACACACACACACACACACACACTCTTATGTGCAACTAAGATACATGTTGGTACTTACTGTATATTCTAATACACACATTGCTGTCTAACATTTTTAGAAATAAATTTAGAGATTTATGCAAATGTCAGACCTCAAAGTCAGATTGCACCCCTAAAAAAAATTCTCACCAATTATTTCTAGACAGATGTCACAAATGGGGTGTCACAGGGTTCTCTCCTGGGCCCAGCATTCTTCATTGTATAAATAGGTACAAGAAGTTGCATCAATGTGCCTATATTCTGAATGAGCAGGGAGGTGGATTTGTGGTCTGAATGTCCATATTTTGAGAGGCTTCAGACTTAACATTTGCTTTAAATCATTATTTGAATAAACTAAAATGTAGGAAAACACTCCTTCAACATATTTTCTGAGTATGTTGTACTGAGTACTGAGTGTCCTACTAGTTGTTATGGGACATGTTTGTAAAAAATCAGTCCAGATATATATTCGCGAATGCTTTCACAGCCGGGATCTAATGGTTGTTCTGGGTTTTTTGGGCTCTTTGGCCATGTTCTGAAGGTTGTTCTTCCTAACATTTCATCAGTCTCTGTGGCCGGCATCTTCAGAGGACAGCAACCTGTCCTCTGAAGATGCTGGCCACAGAGACTGGTGAAACGTTAGGAAGAACAACATTCAGAACACGGCCAAAGAGCCCGAAAAACCCAGAACAACCATTAGTCCAGATATACTTCACTAAGAAGTACAGTACTGGGTCAAAAGTAAGTGAAATAATCAGGGCTGATAAAGTTCACGTGATTTAATTATCAATATGATAAGGATCCTATTGAGGCTTTAATAGCCTAAAAGTGCAAACAGCAATATTGGATTGCACTGGAAAATGTCACTTCACTTGGTGCAGTCTCCTTTAAAGTGACTCTTCGCTGCACACAGAATCCACTCCTGACTGCTCCAGTCCAGCTCAAAAGAATAAAAAATTAGCCCTGCTGTCAGTCCAAAAACATCTGGATTGGATATGGAGGAGGCTCAGTCTGGTTCACAATCTTCTGTATGTGACTGGTCCCTAGAAAATAGATTATACCATAGGTGGTCCAGAAAGCAATCTGAATTGCTATCTTATCACATCCTATGTTAAATATGAAGGGACGTGGTGGTGCTGTGGGTTAAACCGCAGAAGTCTTTGTGCTGCAAGGTCAGAAGACCTGCAGTCATAAGGTCGAATCCATGTGACAGAGTGAGCCCCCGTCACTTGTCCCAGCTCCCACCAACCTAGCGGTTCGAAAGCATGCAAAATGCAAAATGCGAGTAGATAAATAGGTACCACCACAGTGGGAAGGTAACAGCGTTCTGTCTCTAGTCGTGCTGGCCATGTGACCACGGAAATATTGTCTTTGGACAAATGCTAACTCTATGGGTTGGAAACGGAGATGAGCACCACCCCCTAGAGTCAGACACAACTGGACAAAATTGTCAAGGGGAACCTTTGCCTTTACCTTTTTATGTTAAATATAATTACAGGATACCATTTATATTATGTGGGTTGTAAACTCAACAGAGACCACATAAAAATAAAGATGATATCACTTATTCTAAAGTGTTCAGCAATTGACGCATGAGAATCCATCTTAGGTTCATGACACCAATGAAATCAGCATAACACTTATAACAATTTCCCCTTATAACAGAATGCATCTATTTCTGTAAAAGGGAAACTTTGTAATGGGCCTAAACAAACCAGGCATGTTTCCTAACAAGGTTTAAAATAACTTTTTAAAGGGTTCTGACAACATTGGCTCCCATTTGTAAGCCTCCTGTGTTTTCCCACTCTTCTTTTCATCTTTTCTGTTGCCACAAGGGTTTCAGTTAGGGATTCTAATTGGCTGTACCTGGCCATTATTGCTCTTTACAAGGGGAAGAAGGAGAGATGAGCATTAGATGTTGTAAAAACATAACCCTGCACAATTCTCCCTTAATACTGCATATTGATGAGGAGCAAGCCCTGTACCTGCTACTAAAACATAGTTGTGTTTTTCTCCATGCCTCAGAATCCTGGCTGTTGTTCTATTGGCTAGCTTTCCTCTCTCCTCCATTTTCTGTTCTTTGAAAATAGACAAGTGGAGAAGTAGTTAGTTCCACACTATATAAAAGGGAAAAAACACAGAAATGCAATGTAAGCAAAAGTTTTCTGCTTCTTTCAACCAAGGGTGATCCAGCCTGGTCATTTTTTCATTTTCAAGAAAGGGGGTAGCAGTCGGAGGATCTTTCCCTGATTATCTCTGCATCAAAAAGGGAAATAATCAAATTCTTTCAACATTTGAAATGTTTTCCACACCTCACTCCAAATTGCTCTCCCAGTTGGTTTTCCCCAAATGGGGTTTTAAAAGTTTGCATCACTGTGAAGCAAGTAATTATATATTTATGTCCTATCTATTCTAAAAATTTGGAAGAAGCTTACAACAATAATAAGAGCAGTGAATAATCAGCTAAATGAGTGAATGATCACTTAAAACAGCAAGAAGCTGAAAGCAATAAACAGCAGATGAAACAGCAAGATTGACATTTGCTAAAATACCATAGCAGATTAAAAAAATAGAACAAACTGAGAGTACAACTCAAATCAGATTACAAAACCGGGGCCAGCTTTTAAAAATCCATCCATGTTAGATCCAAATGTCTCAGTAAACAAAACAAAAAATTCAGGTGGCAATGAAAAACCACCATCCAAACATAGTGAAATGAAATAATTTATTAAGCATTTCATGCATTAAACCCTCTTAACTTTTTCCTTATTAATCATGCAGTTCTTGACTGCAACATATTTCATGGCATTTGCCAGTCTTTGATAACTAACACAGAATACAAGTAGCATTCTGCTGGTATCCACACACTGGGAAGCAGTAGAATGAGACAGCTGCCACCAAAATGGATGTTGCCTCCAGGTCTCCCTACATACAACCTTTAGTCATACTGTATTATGCCCGCATTGCCCCCCTGTGATGTGGCAGTAATAAATGACCAATACAATACTAGGCTTCATCAACAGAAATACATTGCCACCTTGGGTCCTTTTTAAGGAGAAAGACGGGATAAAAATATTTTGAATAAATAAATAAAAATGAATTGCCCAGATCATAGGAAGCAATAGTAGCACTTGTTCTGCTTTGGTAAGATCTCACCTGGGATTCTCTCTCCAGTTCCAGGCATCACAATTTAAGAAAGATGAGCTGGAATGTGTCCATAAGATGGCAACCAGGATGATAAAAGTTACAGCAATCAAGCCTTATGAAGAATGGCTGACAGAGCAGTGTATGTTGAGCCTGGAAAAGAGAAGACTGATTAGCACTATGATATCCACCTTTATCTGTGGTTTTCTGCAATCATCATTTGGTTGGACTTGATGACTCTTGGAATTGCTTCCAGCTTTACAGTTGTATGGACTTGTGATTCTGTTGCTCCTTCTTGCTGGTTTGGAGAAGAAAAAGAAGGAAAGAGCAGCAAAACCAAAAAGTACCAGCAAATAACAGTGCTGGTAGGTACTCCATAATGCCAGATTCCTGCTCCATTCTGGCTTTAGATTCCAAATTTATTTTGTTCAACAGCAGCTTCAATTTTTGAGATACTTATTGGTGGGTGTGGTCATCTCTACATTAGCCATTAGAGCTATAAACGTGTGTTTATAGTGCCCTCCCATTCTGTTGTTCTTCTTTTTTGTTTTAATTCTTATTGACAAAATGTGTTATTCAAACAAGACTCCACGAAAGACCATCAGCAGTGATTTTCAGACATTTCTCCCCCCATTCTGCAGCTCCCAGATCCTTCCTTGGGATAAAAGAGATCCCTAGGGATCCCAGAATCTGGGGGAAAGGAAAAGCTTTTCATTTTCTCCAGCTTGGCTGATGAATTCATCATAGTTGTGTACCACACAGTCCTACAATAGGATGCCGGCCACTGTGTTATAAAAAGACTTTGGGGATGTGAAAGGCATCATTCTAAACTACCTCAATTTCATAATGAACAGTACAGCTTTAGATTATTTTCTTCAAAGTTAGTAGCACTAATTGCTTTAACTTGAGTTCCAAAAGTCCCCGAAGTGAGAATGATAAGGATTAGGAAATTTAATTGGCTCTAGTAACCCCCAAAGGCACTTGCACTTCCTGTATAAAAGAAATGAAATCTTTTCTACTAAACTTAGTCTATAAAATGTCAATAAAAAGTAGCTTTATATTTTTTCAGTCTAGTCTAGAAGCATTTCTTAAAAGCAGATTCAGTCAAAGCACATCTAGTTCTGTTTTTATTTCTGCAGCACAAGGCTAGAGCAGATGGGAAAAACCCCTCAAAGAACTGCTCTTCTCTCTTATATGAGTCATTAGCTGAAATCCTGTTCCTTATGAAGGCAAATTGCCCTACATTAGGCCAGTTGACTCAGTGGGGATTTTGGTTAGTCTTCCTACATAAGTTTTGTTGATTCAACTGGGCCTACTCTAGTTGCAACTTTCTGTGCTAAAGTAAGTTGTAACTACAGTAGACACACTTGAATTAGCAGAAGTTATATAGGACTTGACTCACCAAATCCCCACTGATTCAATGAGCCTACTCCAGTGTAACTTACTGCGCTAAGCAACAGAGTTTTGGCCAAAGACTGCACAGTGTATTCTTCTGATTGGAAGCTAACACATTGTGGGTTGTGATACCTGACAAGTAACTAAAGTGTATAATATGAATAAAAGTAACGATAAATTTTAAAATGAAGATATCTGTTCCCTTGGTTTCAATGTGAGAAGCGCCCTACAGATCCCACTGTCATCCATCAAACTGAGCCAGAAACAGACATTCAAGATAGCCCAGGAAGAGAAACATTCTTAACTAATGTAAGCATCTGAGTATTACACAAGGAGCTTCTTTCACCTCTGGGATTATATAAATTATCTTGCTTTGTTTGGTGATTCAGCGTCATATTTTAAAAAGATTATTCCTTTCACAAACACAAAATGTATATGGTTTTAGCACTAATTACAGGCTTTCTCTAACATCTATTTCTATCCTCAGTAAAGACATAATAAAAGGTGGTAAGTAACATTGCCCTCAGCATGTCTCAGATTCTAGTACAACCACCCAGTTAACTGTCCCAGTCAAGAGCAGCCAACTGATGACTGCATGTGAAGGCTAAGCCAAATCTCCAGAATGGGTGGGTGAGGCAGAAGCAAAACTTGGCTGAAGTAAATCCATACTCCATATATCTGCATACAACCATTTACATACTTCCCCCTGCCTGCACACAACCATCCATACACTTTCATTCACCACTACCATCACAGCCCAGTGTTAGGGCCTGTCCAAGATGTTTGCCTGCCTGGATGAGACAAGATGGCATTCCTTCCCCATTCGATGGACAGAGGTTGACTAGGCTGACAACTGAATGCCGTGTTCCCCCCAAAATAAGACAGGGTCTTGTATTAATTTTTGCTCCAAAAACACATTAGGGCTTATTTTCAGGGGATGGTTTTTTTTTCATGTGCAACAATCTACCTTTATTCAAATACAATCAAGTAATCTTCTTCTGGTTGCTGCGCAATGGTGGAGGATGGGGTTTCACTTAACTGGGCTTATTTTGGGGGTAGGGCTTATATTACGAGCATCCTGAAAAACCATACTAGGGCTTATTTTCAGGTTAGGTCGGGGTGGGGGGAGGGTAGCACTGGAATGCTACACTATGCCTGAGGCAATAGGCTAGTTTAGAGAGCCCACAACAGGCCATGTGGCATGTGTAGTTCTGACTTCCAGGAGAAGGGGATGAGGGAGGAAGGGAGGAGGAACAGATGCAGAGCTGTTGACATTGAGCTTAAAACAGCTATTTAATTTTGCCTAATAGTAGGGCCAGCCTGCTCCCTGCATTCATTCACATGAATACTGACAACACACTCTCTCACACACAGAGATTCTACCATACCCAATAAAGTAATTAGGTCTGGAAAACCTCCCAATGGAATTTTGTTGTCACAGGGAACACTTTCTATTTCAGATTCTTGGTGATTTTTAATTTGCATTATATTTAATAATATACAGCTCAAATCTGAACTGAACCTTTTGCAACCACTCATATATTGTTGGGATCTGCAAGATGAGAGGAAGTAGGGATCTTGCAGATGAAGCCTCAGGGCAGGGATCTTTCTCCTCGACCAGCAAGGAGAAAGGAAAAGACACAAGACACTCGAATGTGGTTTTTCAGGACGGGATCCGAATGAACAAGGACAGCCTGCCGTCAGGCATCTGTCCAGAGGGACCCTTGTTCCTCCGCCTCCTCTTCTTTTATTGTTTTCTCCTACCACAGCACTAGTTAATCAATACAGAGGTAACTAATTTCTTGAATACACAACAGAATAACCAGAGTGCTGGTAAACAGAGACAAGTAATTTCCTTGAATACAAAGGCATCAGTAAACAGAGTGGTTGGTAAACAGACAGGCTGGTAAACAGACAGCTAATAGTAAACAGACACAGATAACATCCAAATACACAGACAATGTAAACATTCCTGAGGTAGACACTTTAACTACATTACCCAGAGACAATAGACAGCAGGTTAATGATTATCCTTACTGGAAGTTAGCCTTGCAGTTTTAGCATGATGTCTGCTACTAGCATACAGATATATACATTTATATACATTTATAATATACATTTGCTACTGCCATAGATATATATATTTTAAAGGCATACAATTTTCCCACAATATATATGTAACAATTGCCATGTTTCTTTTGGCTTTGGTACATTTTTATGTTATAAATAGCTAGAAGGTAATTTCGTATAATATAAACTAGGGTGTGAATCAGCATTTTCTAAGATCATGTTTTACCACCTTGCAATCAATTAATCTACCATCTTCACTTTTAGACAAATGAACTTCAGGATATAAACCCCTCCTCATGCTTCTAAGGTACTAGTTAACAAAGCACTGTGAATTATTTTGTTTCTGCAGAAGTATTATGCATAATGTAAATAAGATTGTTGTTTAGTCACTAAGTCGTGTCCGACTCTTCATGACCCCATGGACCAGAGCACGGCAGGCCCTCCTGTCTTCCACTGCCTCCCAGAGTTTGGTCAAAGTGAATAAGATGGTGTGTAATTAATGGGATGGTTAGTTTATTCAAGATGGGTTTGTGACCATCCCATTGTGGTTAATGTACGTTCCCTGTGTTTTCTAATTTAGAAGTGCCCTTTATGAAACTTGGCACTTACTCAGAGCAGCTTCATACTTGACATGACAATCATGCTTGCATTAGGCACATCAGTGTGAATAACAAATTATCTTAACAGGTCACAACCCCAAGCTAAACACATTTGGAGATGCCTGATAAGAAATACAGACACTTGTGTGATATAAATTTATTGTAAATAGTAATGATAATAGGGAAGCAATAGATGATCGTTTCATAGGAACTAGGAAGCATAGCACACATTATCAAGAATGTGGTTTTCAAAAACTAGCAAAACAGGATTCCCTGAGACAAAGCAGTTGCTTCTCACCCCAAGCAGAAAACCAATGTCAAGCAGGTAGCAATGCTTTATACCCTCTATATCCATTCTCAAAGCTCCTGTCAGCTTCAGGCCAGAGGAAGCTGCTGGCAGAAGTGGACAAGCCCTTCCCAAACAAGCAATGTCTTCAGGGAAACTAATGTCTTCAGGGAAAGTGCAGTTCCCTTATTAATATACTTGGGTTTGATGCCCTGTTACAGGCATACAGCAAAACAGAAAGATGACATAATAAGAAAAGCTGAGCTTCAAAGAACAGATATTTAACTTCTGGAAGCAAGGAATACATATAACATAAAATGAAGCAAAACATGTTAGTGAAAAGTTGGATTTGATTCAAATGGCGTGAAAATTGATGAACGAAAAATCAACAATTTAAAATATGCAGATAACACCTTATAACTGACAAAAATGACATTGATTTTAAACAGCTACTGTTGGAAATTTAAAAAGAATGTACAAAAGTAGGATTATAGTTGAATATTAAGAAAGCAAAAGTAATGTTAAATAACTTGATTTTAAACAGCTACTGTTGGAAAATTAAAAAGAATGTACAAAAGTAGGATTATAGTTGAATATTAAGAAAGCAAAAGTAATGTTAAATAACTTTAATGTTGACAATGGACATTGAAAATATTAAAATATTTTCTATACCTCAGTCCAGTCATAAGTCCAAATGGAAAATGAAATCAAGAAAGAAGATTGAGACTAGGAAGGGTAGCTATGAAGGAACTAAAAAATATCCTCAACTGTAAGGATGTGTCACCAGATAGCAAGGATGGGATCATCCATACTAAGATACTCCTATGTATTATGTACAAAAGTGACAGCTAGACAATGATGCAAGCTTTCATGGGGGAAATGAGTTGGCTTTAATGCTGGAGGAAAGCTTTACAAATGCCAGCTACCACATACTACAAAATAAAGAATTTCCAGTTCTATTGAACCCTCACTAGAAGCTAAAGTCACTAAATTGAGACTATCACATTTTGGACATACAATGAAAAGAGAAAACTCACTCGAAAAGACAATAATGCTGGGAAAAGTTGAAGGCAGTAGGAAAAGAGGATGATTGAACATGAGATGCTTTGCCTCAGTAAAGGAACCATGGCTTTTTGTTTGCAATACCTGAGCATGAACTTTGGGAGGTCATTAATTCAGAGGATTACCATAAGTCTGAAGCACACAAATACAACAACAAAATATTATAAACAGTCATACTTTTGAATCCTGTGGGATTCTTTGCATTATGCAGCCTGATGTAGAGTCCTGCTGAATTTGAAAGCTCATCTATTCATGATACTTAATGGTCCAATGACCATATTATCAATTCCAGTTTCTGAATTTTCAAAAAAGAGTCCAGGGCACTTTTTCACCTCACTTGATAGTTTTTATCTGGCACTCTCCCCACAAATATTTAGTATTTGTAGAACTCTAGGATGCCACATTGCCACTTTAAAAGGGTTTTCCATATGTTCCATTTGTAATGCCTTTAGAAAAGGTTTCTTTGCTGAGCAGATGAGTGCTATGAATGTCCTTACCATTGATTTGATATAATGTTGTAATGTTGAAAGTGAATTAACCTATTAAGACCAATCAGATGCTTTTTCTTGTAGAACTTAAAAACTTTACAGTATTTGATGTTAAAACCCAGATGGGGTCTTTGCTCGTGTTCAGCTCAGGGGTTAAGTGGTGTACATAGGTTTTATCATAGTTTTTAAAAAGCTCAGTTAACAAGCAGACAAGTACTGGTTTACACCACAGGTTTTTTTACAGCCTATTATTTCATGTCTTCCCTCTTACCTAATTTGTAACTCATACTGAGCAATAACCAAAGTGCCTGCTGGGAACACTCTTCCTTAATTTAAAAAGAAGAGAGCCCCCCATTATTTTGCAGCTTAGTGAGGTGGCTCTACTTCTGTCAGTCAATTCCAAAAGGTCTTTTGTACACATTTTAGGAGCTTGCATCTCAAGTTTAGATCAGTGATTAATTCCAAGGGCAATTGACTTGCCATAATAGACCCCACTCTGTCAAAACTCTGTGAACGCTGCCTTGTTTTTCTTCAGTCTCTTTTGAGCTTACTTTCCCCCTGCCCCAAGACTCTTGAAGTAGCAAAAATAAGAAGGCTAAATGATGTGAAAACTATTGAATCAACTAGTCAGATGATGCAAATTATTTCATCCTCATTTTCTTATGTCACAGCACTGCTGCTGCCATGACCAAAGTCTATAGACCCATCTGTGGAAAAGCTGATATGGGGAATGATTTGATATAAACTGCTCATTAGAACTAGAGGAAAATATTGCAGTAATTGAAAAAATAAAATTGAGCTAGGCAAGGGGGAGCATATTATGGTATCTTTTCATCTCATATCTTAATAGCAGCTTACTCTGAGGAATTTGCATCTTAATATTTTGAGCTACATTTTTACTAAAAATAACTTCAAAGAATTGCGACAGACTGAAGTCCTAAGAAAAAATGTTTTGCTTTGTTTTTCAAGATTCAACAAATGGGTTTCCTTTGGCAGTTATTTTTAGTTTCCCTTCCCCACTTCCCCTCCCCTCTTCCATTTCATAATCTCAAACAGAAGGGCCCTACAATTTGGCAGAGTGAGTCTGCTAGCTTAGGGTAGTGATTTTTGGAGTTATTATTACAGAGCAACTGTTAGTTTTCTTTCTTTCTTTCTTTCTTTCTTTCTTTCTTTCTTTCTTTCTTTCTTTCTTTCTTTCTTTCTTTCTTTAAACTAGAAAAAAAAGCAAATCAAAGTACCTAACAATACAAAAAATACAAGCCTAGAAAAAAACTTAATAAACATAAAAACAGCACAAACAGTGCACCCCTCCACCGGGATCATTTGGAGATATATTAAGCTGGGGTTTTTTGTTGTTTGTTTGTTTGTTTGTTTTCATTTGTGAAGCTCCATTCCCCTTCCAAAACTGCATTGAATCTTATGAAGGTACACAACGATTTCCTTATATTAGTAAATAATTAATAACAACTCCCCAAATATCACTAAAAGTACATTTATCAAATTCTTTCTACCTTAGTATCACAATAACTATTATTAATAATAGTTATTTCCCATACTTATTGATGCCAATCATTTAATTGAATATCATGCTTTACTTTCCAGGTCTTTGCTATCATTAGTCTTGTTGCTGTTAATACATTTGTTATTAATTATTTTACTGTCCGATTGTTAGTTCCGAAGTGAGTAATCAGTGTATTTTTATGGCCAGCAAGTGGGAAAGCCATTTTGAAAAACTACTGTCTTATGAAACGACTATTAAAGAAATGTGTGCACATGAACTATGAACTGTTTTCTGGCACATAAACTCAGATTGTGAAGGCACAAGTACTAAGACTGGCAACCTAGATAACTCACCCAAATTTGGTGCAACTGCATATGCGTTTGCAATTTGGAAACTGGAACATTTAGATTTCGGTAAATGTTGCAAACTTGCAAAGGCAAAAATCATGGAGAATTGAAACAGCGATGGCATTTTCCCACTGGGTGTGTCAGCAGTGCCACTATTCACTTTTATTTTAAGTGAATGTCATGTCCAGCTCACTGCAAATCTTTTCATAAGGCATAAGTAAGCATTTAATGCATGGTATTTTATTGTACTGTACTAGGAACTAGAATGATGGTGGTGGGTGATGGTGGTGGTAGAGTCCCTTTCAGCTATGTAGTTCTAATATCATGATAATGATGCACAAAGTCTCTACCTGCCAGTTCCAAATATCTCCAGATATTTGTGCAACTCTTAACTCATTGGCACATCCTCCCCAATCAGTCTACTTTCCCCTCCTTGTAATTTGATTACATAGTACAGTAGCTGCAAACATGTATGGTCACACATTATTCATAAGCTTATACAGCTATTTTCATCCTGTGGCTGATTAAGGATGGCAAAACGGACTGCTTCACAGGGTCTTGGAGCTGGTGGTCAAATGAAGGGAAAGGGGCAGTTCTCATAGTTTGAAAAGAAGCTGCAGTATGGTCCTGCTAAAGAAGACAGAGCTGCATTCAGCCAATCTGTGCTGTTTCAGACATGTCTTATTTGAGCAAGATATTTAAGTGAATTGTAAGTTATCAGTTCCTGGGCTTACTGTCTTGGTTACTTTCATCTGATTTTATCTGGCTTCTCACTTAGAAACTTCTCTTTTTTTACCCATTAGATGACCTGCTTCAAGATGAGTATGATCCTGCTAATTGCTCTGAATCTGTGAGTGACTTTTAGTATCATTCAGTCGTATACGACTAAATGACTAAACAACAGCACAGTATCTTGTTAGGAAAAACAGATATATACTTCCTTCAAGAGACCCATATTAAACAAGGCAAAGAGAAGTATTTGCAGCAATTTATTCATCTTGTAGGAAGAGTAAAAAAGGAGGTTTGCTTATGATGTTAAGTAATCCAAATATAGAAGTACTGAACATAAAGAAAGAACATTGTGGGAGATGTATTTTATTTCATTTCATTAGGTTTTTGTTATTTTTGTTATACTTTATATTTAGTTTGTGTGCTATTTTATGGCTCAGATTTTCTTTTATTACAGGTGCCATTGGTTACTTGCCTTTTTTATTATGTAATGTCTGACCGATTTGGTGGAAGGATGATGCAAACTTAATTTTATTCTTATTTGATCTTATATAATTGTCAGTTTATTGTTATGTAAACTACCCCAAATAGTAATGTCACTAAGTCGGGAGGAATATAAATGTTATAAATAAAATAATAATATTATGATAAAAATTCAGGTAAATAAGATTCCTTATTTGTCCATCTGGATTTATCTCCATTAACTGGAGACACAAAACATAATATCACAGAACAATTTCAACTAGATTGGATAAATGCTCACATAAAATATTTAGGCATACATAGTTACACATCCTAACTATGCGGTACTGAGACAGTAATTGCAGCTCAGAGTGACAGAGAAGTAAACAAGTAGATGATATACCAACTGTTTTAACTGGGTCAAATTTCAATAATTTTAATGGTAATTTTACCAAAGATTTCATTCCTTATATTAATTCTCCCATTGGAAACAGATGAAGATATGTAAATTGATTTTAAAAATTTTAGATTTATCTGGCACTATAAGCTACACGGCACCACTCAAAGGACTCTCAACCCAAAAATAAATAAAGGAGGATTGGAATGAATAGTACTGTGTGATACTACTTTTATATAAAACACAACTTTCGGGGGTGTCCATGGAACAAATATGGAACTCATATCTCAAACACTTGTATACTGTCATCTATAAGAACAATGTTAAAGATCTACAACAAGCTCTCTTCAAAAAATATTCTAAGTTTTTCAGCAAGCACATCTCTGCTGGTGAATAAGTTTGTCAAAGCAGAGCCTTATAAGACAATATTTTTACCTGAGGAGAAATGCTCTGTTTTATATATGGGTTATATATATATGGGTTATATATGGACATATTTATTTATTTATTTGATTTGATTTGATTTGTACCCCACCTATCTGGACCAATGGACCATATAATGTACTATGAACTCTGTTATGAAATTAAATAAAACAAATCTACATTTCTTTCAATATCTTCAAATGTAAAACACCAATGAAAATAATAATAAATAAATATGGTATACCTAGACTCCATATATCATTTGAGACAATTCTTTCACATTCATTTCCAAATTAAGAGTTAGTTAATGACCTTTACTTTTTTCTTGCAAAATTTTAGAATTATATTTTCATCTGCCAACCTTTCAAAGCAAATGGAATGATCTCTCAGTACAGACCACAGACTGGAAATAGCTTTTCAGAACAATGCCTAGATTGATCATAAATTCAAATCTCAGAGAAAATCTTTATAAATCATGTTTTGAATTTACTTTGCATAAATTGAATAAGATACATAATACTCAAATGTCTTTCTGTGGATACAGAAAAGCTTTGATATGTGAACAGAATGCATAGTATAATTTTCATACAGAATCTATTAACACCTTCAAATTTGCAAACAGTATAAAAATAACACAGAATGTTTGTTGACTAAATTTTGTACACACGCGCGCGCACACACAGTCCTCACACATAGACACACCAACACAACTTTTCCAAAACAGTTTTCCAACAAGTAAAATAAAATTACAAGAACAGCTATTTGGGATATTTATTGATTTGTTTGTTTGTTTACTTACATTTCTATGCTGCCTTTCTCCCAACTAAGAGACTCAAGATGGTTCATAATTTAAGGTTTCATTACCTCTCTAACCCTTGAACAATGCCAGAAATAAGGCAACATATGCAATCACTGTTTTGTATCTATGTTCCAAGAGGCATGTGGTTGACTCCTTTGTGAATAGAATATACTGGTCTGCTTCTGCGATAAAAATCTGCTATTTATTATGTATTTTGATGTGCTGAATTCAAATATAACAATTAAAACAACTGATTGGCTACTGTTTCCAAGATATTTCAGTTTTTACTTTTTACATCTATGTATATCATGTAGACAGTAGAGCTCTTATCATAAATTGTAAGCCTAGGTCTTTTCATGTGCTTGTGGTTGCTTTACATGATAATATTTCACCATCTCTGTTTATGTAACACTTTAAAAATCAGCAAAAGGATTATATAAATAAAATGTATCATGAAACAAAAGGCAAAAAAACTATTATGTACATAGTTTAGTCCTAGTCTGTGTCTACTTGGTGCTTCTTGTCTTGTCTCCTGTATTCATTAAATGGAGCATCTCTTGTCACTGTCCCATAATAGTCTACAAGCATTCATGGGCGGGCTCCATTTGCCCTGACAGTGTTGCTCCATTGTTGCAATGTCCTGGTGAAACAGCTTGTTGTGCTCATCTATCGCTGCTCCACAGTTTGATGAGAAAAAATCCAGGTGAGGGGGCAAAACCTGTATCCCCAGTGACATATTGCAATCAAAGTTTCTGTATGCCTTGAGGAGGCATACCAATAATCTATAGCTATCTGCCTTGTTCTTTCCAAGAAAATCTGTTGTCACTAACAGAGATGGGGGTGTTCATATTTGTATACAAATATGAATATCCCCCCCACAGGTGGAAATAACGAGGGTCCGGGCCCATGGGGCCAGACTGTCCACTCACCATTCCACTATGGATGGACACTCAATGGAGCCTTCCTATTGTGGCATTGTCCACAATGGATTAGCCACTCTGCGACCTGGCAGAGAGGCTTGTCATCTGCCTCCTGCCAGGAGTGGCTAATCCATTGCAGACGATGGTGCAATAGGAAGGCTCCATCAAGTGCACGTCCACAACGGAATGGTGAGTGGACAGTCCGGGCTCATGGGCCCGGACCCTTGTTATTTCCACCTGTTGGGGGGATATTCATAGATGGATACTAATACCCCCATCTCTAGTCACTAACTGGAAAGCTTTCCATGTCACCTTTTCCTTGCCATGCAGTGCATAGTCAAATGCATCATCTCAAATAAGTTAATGAACCTGAGGAACAACAAATACACCTTCCTTTATCTTAGATTTACTTAACCTTGGAAAATTTCCATGGAGGTACTTGAAAGCTGCTTGTGTTTTGTCCATGACCTTGACAAAGTTCTTCATCAGCCCCAACTTGATGTGTGAGAGTGGTAACAAAATCTTCCTTGATTCAACAAATGGTGGATGCTCAACACTTTTCATCCTAGGCTCCAATGACTGCTGGAGTGATCCATCTATCTTGATGTAGTGGGAATCTCTTGCACAACTATTCAGTTTACAGAGAAAAGAGTGCATCCAGTCTGCGGACCAAGCAAGAGAGCAACAACCTTCACATCGCCACAGAGCTGTCACTGAGGTTGGTCATCGTTTATGCACCTCAAAAGTTGTTTCATGTTCTCATATGTTTGTTTCATATGCACTGCATGACCAACTGCAATTGATGACAAAATGCAGCAAAACAGCTTTAAGACTCTTCTTTGACAAGCAGTCTCCACTCATCTTGATTGTGAACAATGTTGAGGGCTGCCATCACACCATCAATGCTGTTGCAGGCTAAAATTGTTCTGCCTAAAAAGCAAGTACTGTCCAAACCCAGTCATAGATTTATTCATAGATCCAATCAAAGATGTATTTTAGTCATTTCTGGTTTAAATTAAGATCCCTTCCCTTTATAACTCACTTATCCTCTGCTATTCTCAAGTCAAGGGTTGTAGATACTGACTCAATAGCGCACCTTGAAAACTAGAGCCAATCAACAATTTTAAGTATAATTTTCATTTTCAGTGACCCAGAATTAGTAAAGTTTGACTACATTTATTTCAAAAGCATTTTGGCTGTAGACCAGTGATACAATACATGATGGAATTTTAGCCTTATCCTACATGGCTCTTATATTCTTAAGTCCAGAGAAAATTGAGGATCAACTGAACAATACCTTTAGCACATGTATAGAAAATATGCTCATTCAGGTGATGAAAGCTAGGTGTTTGCCATAGCATGTGATTTTATCCACCTTGAATGTAGCATGCTTAGTTTTGTGATTGGTCATTGAAAGAATATGCAAGTTTGTAGATGAACATATCTTTGAGGAAATCTCACTTAGAAAGGGGAAGGGGAAGGTTAATAAGTATCCCCTTAATATATTGTATAACCCTGAAGCAAAAGTGTTAAAAGAATTGAGAGTAATTGCTTAGCATGACAAATAGGAAGAGGCATCAAAGGGACCAAATAGTGTAGTCATAAAAATGCAGCCTGCAGATTTACAGTGAGCCAAGATGCTGAAATATTATTCAAAACAACGAGAAAACAATCCCAGCATAATCATGATCTGAACCATTAAATTCAGCTTCTTTCAATTAAGGAACATGGGTGGCATGCGGCAGGGCAGGGGTTTATTCAGCCAGAAATGAATGTTCTGTTTCTGTATATAAATCTGTAATCTGCTGTTAAGACTGCTACTCATTAAGTTATGCTGCACCAGTGAAACACTACATTAACCAGTTGGACATATTAATTCAGGTAATAACATGAGATGGCACTTCCCAGCATAATTTGTTGTTGGGAGCTGCAGCTGCATCTTATCCTTTCCTTGCTATTTTTATCTGCTGTTCCCATGTAATTGTCCACACAACTTTAACCTATCTGCTTGTTCTCTCTGCTGTAAGACATCAGTTCTGCTTAGCCTCCTGGGCACATCTATCTATTTCTGTCCCTTCTCTCATAAGATAAAGATAAATACATCATATAATGTCTCACACATATGCTGCAGCTGTCTTTCGATTGTGTAGCTCTCTGGACATGTACTTATGCTATTCAGACTGTCCTCATATGATTTGGATATAATTCTACAGAGGAAAACAAGTCTTCTCTTTCAGCAACTGCATGTTATGCACCTTGCACTTTATGAATCCATTTTCAAGGAAAATGCCTACCCATTGCTGAAACAGACCCTGTGGCCCTATCTCTTGCTTATGAAGCTATTGGTATGTTTGCAAGACAC